GGGTGGAGGGGGCAGGCCCCCCTCCTGGGGGTTCGGGGGCAGAGCCGTGAATTTTTTTTAACTAAGAGGATTGAAAACGACGATTTTGAGTACCAAAAAGACAACCAATTTATCGATACAAAAATAATGTGTCAATCTATGTATCTAACACTATACAAATTGAAAACATAAATGTTAGATGGATATCAAGAAGACAAAACGTAAACTGCCTATCTATATAACAGATGATAGAGATGACTTGGACATCTGAAATTAGTCATTCCATAAGGGTTTTAATTAGGTCGGCTTGGGAATTGAGTTTTAATTAGTTGGATCTAGGAATTGGGAACTTAACTTTTAAATTGGATTTGGGCCATTTATTTATTCAAGTAGCTATTGAATCTTTAGTTTAGGTCTAAAATTTTTGTATGGTTGAATTTTAAAGGATAAGTTATTGGGTCTATATTTATTGGTGGAAAAAGAATTTGCGGAGGCGAGTCAAAATTTTTGGGGGGAGGGAGGGCGAAACTGAAAAATACATTACAAATTAACTAGGAATAGTGGACCAGCGGACAATGTTGGGGACGGTCGCCCCCCTACCCCCTAGCTTCGTCATTGAATGTATCGATCGCAACGTCGAAATAAAGTTAAAACTCTCATCCCTAAACTTGCATGTGGTTACGGGCGTGAATGAACCAAAACGAATACTAAATGAGTAGAAACGTCAGCCATATGTTTAAAACGACTAGATTCCATTTTGGGTCATGGGGAATCGATTCACTCCGAAATTAGTAAAAAATGCTTTGAAACATCATACATGACTCGTACACATTGAACGACTACACGTGCTATGTTTTCGATACCACACTTGCTACTTACATTTTTCTTTATTGCCAAATATAGTGTAGTTTTCTACCAGATTATGGAGTGACTCATTATAGTTTGAAAAAATGTGTCGATCGCAACGTCAAAATATAGATAAAACTTTCATCATTAAGCATTCATGTGGTTATAGAAGTGAATGAATCGAAACGAACACTAAATGAGTAAAAACGTCAGACATGTGTTTAAAACGACCATATGTCATTTTGGTTTGCACAAACAGTGGTGCTGTTATAGTTACCAAAAATCTTATCAAAATAGCTATCAAAATTTATAAAAAAATAATCACAATTTCAAGATT